TCTCTCACACACACACACATCACCCACACACACAGATCTCTCTCTCTCACACACACACACATCACCCACACACACAGATCTCTCTCACACACACACACATCACCCACACACACAGATCTCTCTCACACACACACACACATCACCCACACACACACATCACCCACACACACAGATCTCTCTCACACACACACATCACTCACACACAGATCTTTCTCACACACACAGATCTCTTTCTCACACACACACCACACACACAGATCTCTCTCACTCACTCTCTCACGCACACACACACACCGCTCACATTTCTTGGACTGCTGGCCAGTGAGCTGAGTGCTTGGAGGAATAACAAAAGACCAAGAGACGTCCAGGGGCTAAAAATAACCAGCAACACTGCTCTCGCCTGTCGCTCTCAGATCTTAGCCCTCAAAGTGATATGTGAACGATCTCCAGAGCCTGTTGTGCCATGAGGTCACAGGGTCAGTTTACCAGACTGGTCCTGTGGTTTATCATTCTTCAACATACTGTGCTTTACAGCACCTTACTGTGCTTTTACTTCAGATTACTTGGGCTCTACTGCATGTTCTTACCATTGTGTACCGCAGTAAATGTGTGAGCAGAGTGAACAGTGCTGAATGTTGTAGGGCACAACCTTAAGCTAATAACAAGAAATTAAAACAAGAAATGACAGGGGAAAAAAACAGTTCTTGGGCTTTAATTTGAATTGTTAAATGAAATTTTATTATTTTTTTATTTTCAGTTTTGTTTTAGAGCCCATGATAAGAATGTCAGAAAGATTCCAGCTCGGGAAAGGCTGTGTGTCCAGTAGCCAGGAGCAGAGTGACCTCAGAGAGCTGGGGACTCACTGACCGGACAGAGGTCTGCTCCTCCCAGCCCCCGTCCCCCTGTGTGAAGAGGGGCCCCGCACCCTGAACTCCGCTGTGGCACCAGCTCTGCGCCATGTGCAGGACCCTCTGTCCTGAGAGTCTGTTTTAGAAACACCTGGAACGGAGCTGCTCAGAGTCTTGTGTGTGAAAAGCTAAAAGGATCTAGTTACTACTAGAAAGGCTCTGTCTGCACAGCCCTGGAGTGAGGAATCTCCTCGTCTCTCTGCTGTGTCCAGGGCTCGTGTCTGTAGTCCCACTGCACTAGGGTGAGAGTCTCTGTACCCTGTCCTGTGTCCTCAGGGGCTGTGTGCAAGACTGTCCCTTTGATCCAGCTGTACCTGTTACTGGCGCGACTTCTCAGACACGTCACTCAGGGAAGAGCTCTGTGTGTCACCAGAGCTTCACCAGCCCTGTGTGGCCCAGATCTGTCGGCAATGGGCTCTGCAGCCTGAGACGGACCGGAGGAGCTGGTGTCCTTCACACTGCTGACCCAGAGACCCGGTCACAGCAGGGAGAACTCCTCCAGGGACTTGACCAGCACCGTGTCCTTCAC